TTGTAGAATTCAACAAATTCGACAGAAAAATACTTACAAATATTGGAGTTTTATTCAAATTCGAATATGTAAGGAATTTATTTTATGGGGACTAAATACACTCGTGAACAAAAGTCGGCCATTTCTTTTTTTTCTGTGCCATCATACTTCAAATTTATCGTCAAGTAGAGATATAACTCGAGAGTTTTATTGCGTTGCAATCTGTACACCATACTGAAATAAAACTCTCATGTCATATTTCTACTCGGCAAAAAACTTGATAAAAAGTATGATAGCATAGAAACAAAGAGGGAAGAAGACTTTTGTCGAGGAATGTATAGAAGGAGCTTATCATGCGCAAACCAAATTCAAAAGAATCTTTTTCAATTTTTGAGAAATATCACATATACAATAAATTTTCTTTATGATTAGATATCCATTAAACTAGCATTAGTTCATTGTCAAAGAAAAGACGTACCTAATGTGTACGGTAGTTGCTCTTTTCTTTAACAATGAAGTAAGGCATAGTTTAATGGATACCTGATCATAAAATAAAACTTATTGTACTGTGATATTTGTCAAAAATAAAAATGTCCTTTTGAGTTTGGTTTATATAAGATCAGTTTCTTATAGATTTGGTCTGCATAAGATAAGCCTCTTATATATTTGATTTTCATAGGATCAGTGTCTTATGTATTTGATTTATATAAGATAAGTCCCTTATAGATTTCGTTTGCATACGATAAGCTCCTTAAATATTTGATTTGCATCAGATGAGTTATTTATATGTTCGGATTTGAATAAAACTCCAACATTTCTGAGTATTTTCAGGGTGTGAGTTGGAAACAGAGTAACACCCGCATCCACATCCTACACGTGCACTCCCACACTCATCTCCACTCTCCCCACAATCACACCTCACATGCACACTCCCACACCGTAGGAATATAGGCTTAGGTTTGGTTATGCAGATGTTGGTCGATGACGGTAAGCATGTGGGTGCGCGTGTAGATGTTCATCTTCTGTAGAGGGGTGTGGGGGTGGGTGTGGATGTGGGGTGTGCGTGTAGGGTGTTGGGTGCGGGTATAAAGATTGATCTCTATTTCACTGACACTCACACTCACACCCACACCCATTCACGACAAGAATTGCTGAAAGATAATGGGCCACATTGTATACACATTGGCGGGAAAAGCATGGTTTCGCACTTAAATGATGCAGTGCTACGAACCATAACTTTATGGAAAACTTTCTCTTCCAAATAACTGATGATGATGGGCTATGACGATGATTTATTTAGCAGAGTATATGAGACTTTTAGAAATCATGTCATATAAATCACAATTACAATCTTGTTCGCTGTGGTATGTGAAATCAGTTTTATTCAAAATAGAGGGTGAGGAGGGTGTCAAACATACAGTTTTCTCGTTTTCTTTCCTTCTTGCTTAAAATACAAATATTGCTTGATGAAATATGTGTAAATAAGTAATTGTAAGGTAAATTTAGAAAAGATACGAAAAAGGAAAAAATATTTTACATATTAGTTGAAAATTTCTTTTATTTTATTTGAGTGTTGAAAATGGCTCATTGAACTAGATCGAAAGTTTAATTGTATTTTTTGCATGAAATAAATAAACGATTGAAGAATTTGTTAATCTTGAAATAGCTTCTTGTCTGTTTTATTTTCATCACTTTTTTATCTTTATCTTTTCTTACTTCAAATGTTACTTTTTTCTATACATCAATTATAATGCACTATCTCTATGCATACATGATATTGCTTTCGGATATAATGGTTCGACTACATCATGTGAGAAGAAAAATAAAAAGATAAGAAAAAAAGCAAATAAATAAAGAAAAGACACATGATTGCAATATGGTCCACTTGTATCATTTTCAGTTATATTTCTAAGATGACTATGCTGGAGACTAAATCAATCAAACATGATGACATTGTTACCAATAACAAAGACGAGATTGTATCATCAGTTTGTCATTACGATTGGACAAACAAATTGACATGCGACAGTAGTTTTCGAATGAAATGGCAACTAGCAATGGAAGAAGATATTAATAGTAACGTCGGTCCAAAAGATGTTATTACCATCAGTTTGATTGGTGGTCAAACGAGTGATCGACGTCATGTAATAAACTCCTTATTTTGTTGCAATCCAATCGTTGATAAGCCTTCAACTGATCATACACAATCATTCATGACTTATTTCGAGAGTACACAGCTGAATAGTCTGCTTCCATTGAACCAATCTGTTGTTGTTTTTGACTATGTTGTCAATTTTCCGTCGCCTGGTTACTACGCTTCAAGAGATCAGATGTTTGAAGTTGACAAAGTCGTCAAATTTTCCTTCAAACTAAGTACTGTAGTTATTTTGTGCTATTCGCTTTCACATCAATATATGACGAATTCAATTGAATCTATCTGGGAGCTCTACATCAATGAACTGGCCTCAGGAAATATGGACACCATTAAAAGCCCTATATTAATCATTCTTCAATTATCCACATCCCGAGATATGCTTCTCACATCAGCAGACGCTAAGATCGAATTTTTCAATAAATATCGAACAAGTATCGACCAACTATATGAGTATTTTACGAATATTCTTGTATGGCGTTTATCCGAAGATATTAATGTTAATGTAGAATATTCTATCATCGTTATGGACGAACTCAAAACACTTCTGAAAAGCATTTATTCGAGATCCGATGTTCAATCACGCATTTTTAGCCGCGACATATGGCTAGATGAGTTGGATCAAATTTTAAATCAGACTCAAAGTGAAATTAAAACTGTATCTGATCGAAATATCTACAAAATCATCACTCAATCTAGAAATTACTTTTTGTATCTGTATGAACGAACATCTATGCGCTCGGTGAATTGGTTCAACTTCTGTCGCTCACAGACAATTAACTTTCTTGCGCATACTCTCGCTGTGCAACTTATCCGAGAGAAGAAAATACTCGATAAGGAAAATGTATCTAATCTTACTTCAAAAGTATTAAATTTACTGTTTAAGAAATTGCATAATTTGGAGCCATGTGGAGCACGTTATAATGGTATTGGATATACAAAAGATGCATCTCCCATTTACTGTTACCAGCCGAGAAATGCACACACTACTCATCGAACATCATGCTGTGTCTATGGCATTTCCAAATTGAAAAATATAATGAAACTTTCTGTTGTCGATCGTTGGGATGGAGACTTTGTTTCCAGTTGCAATGAGAAGTCGAATTTAACGAACAAAAATACATTGACTGTTTTGATTCGAGACTATGCTCTCAAGGCTTTTTTACGAGAACAAGATAAATCAGTGATCTACGATGCACTTATCAGCTTCTTTCATAATAGTAATATTTATGTAACAGACATGATGCAAGAAGAATATACATATAGATTCCGGTTTCATTGTTTGTGCTGTCTCAATATTAATTTTGTGAATGAATATGGAATATATTATGCGTGCAACAGAGACCTCGTGAAATATTCACAAGCTACGATCAATTTTGAATTACCGGTAACGAATACTGCCTATGCTACGCCGAATAATTGCGTTATATTTGTAATGAACCAGTGTGACTACTGTCTTTTACCTTGTGGTCATCATGACTATTGTTATAAGTGTGCTGAACGAATGGTCGACATCTTTCGTCGATGTGCGATTTGCTTCAATGAAGTAACAGATCAAATGAAACTTACCTACAATTTTACCGAGAAGAATCAAACTTTAAGTGAAAGTTCCTTTTCCATCATCAGTTTAAAACGTATGATATCGATTAAACTATTAATTCGTTGAGTTGAACTGTAGTGACGCATATTTTAATTCAAATTTTACTAGAGCTATATTGTATACTAGCGAAATCTCGTGCATACTGCACGGTCCCCCCTTTTTACTATAAAGTATTACATTTGTGATTTAACCTTGGCCCATAATAAACAATCAGATACTTCGCACTATATAACACGTCACCCTCAACTTATTGTCTTTTTTTCGTCACCGCATTAAGTCATCTATTTTGGCTCAAATTTTCAAACGGCTCATTCAAACGAGCTCATATTTTCAGAGATTTCGGAGAAGGCAGCGACATATCTTCTAACGAAAGAACGAACCTTCTGGGCAACCCGACTGCTGAGAAAAGTTAATAAAACTGTGGCCAAAATTGTCATCGCGTTGCGCTTCTTGAAGCTGTTATTGTTTCACTTGTGCAAAAGCTACATTTTAGTTCGAGATCATATTTTGTGAAGAATTGTTCGCTCTACAGAATTACCAAATTCAATCATTTTTAGCATCTTTCTAAGGGGATTTGTGGAAGCTAGTAAATGTTTGGCAGTCCGCTAATTACACCAATTTTTCAGAACATATAAAGATCTCCTCACTACTCTTGAACAAAACCCGATGTACAATTTCTGAACCCATATTTAGAAAGAGCACTAAATTCTAGCTTCAATCCACAGTTCTTCACTCGTATGGAATACTTTCAAGCAGGTCAAATATGAACAAAAAACTGTCCAGAAACTTTAGTCCAACTGACTCGTTCAAAATACCTTTTTAGGTCTTTCAAAGATTTCATCACTGTTTTCAAATTAAAACAGATACACAATGTGTGAACCTTTCTGAAGAAAGTTAAAAAAGAACAAAGATTTTGTAAAAAAAACTTCTCGATCAGTCGTTATTTGATAGCATATAACTAACACTATGAGAATCGGAATAAATCTTTTGTGAAACATCGATAATACTTCCAAGGAAAAGAACAACACTTTGTCAAGCACATAATTCACACTGAGAATTAAATAAATAAAATCGTTCAACTAGACTGAATAGATAAAAATATATATGCATGTGTACGTATTTATTGTCACAATTATTTAAACTTCATCACCAATGGAAACGCTTTAAATAATCTACAATAAAATCACGAGGTGTTGTTAGAGATTTTCCATTTATTCACCAAAAGTTACATTGTAAGTAGTCGAGTCACACAGTCAACTCGTACTCGCCTCAGTACGAAGAATGCGCGAGGCGAGGCAGGAAAACTGGGCGAGTATTGGATCTCTGATTTCTATAGGAATAATGTGGATTATTATTATCACGTCGACTAAGAACAATATTAAGATCAGGAAGATTAAGTGGAATTGCAAATGGTCCTGAACTATCACGAATACGGAAAACTTCATGACGATCGTATCGTAAACGTTGTTTTGGTGTTGCTTGAGATTTATCATGATTTATTATCGTTGTTGTTGGTTTTGTAACACAGTCTAATAATATAGATTCAGATTCTGATTGATTTGAATTAATTTCTTCATGTATTGAATCACCATAAAACTAAATAGTAATAAAACAGAATTTTGATAAGTGATAATTTCGAGAATCAATTTGTTGACATGTACAATGTTTAACCGAATTTTGTTTCTGAAAGTTTTCTTATATGTATATATCTTTTGAAAAGAAAATGAACACTTAAATATCGTCCTCCTCTATGTCGTACTATGATTACTTATCAGAGACCAAAAACAAATTGAATCGAATGAAAATTTTCTTATTCGTTTCAATCTCTGTTACACATAACTATATTATGTACGCATGTGTGAGTGGATATACATTGATCTTTTATTCATTGGCATCCTTACACATTATCTTGCCTTGTACACAACTATGCAAATACCTACACCAATCTACTCTAACGGATTCTTATACAAGCATTATCGTGATTTTCATTGGCTGATATTTCAAATAAAGTTTAACTGATGTTATTTTTTTTCACTCCTATTTTGTCTTTTTTCCTCATATCTGAATCAAATATTAATATTGTTTTTTTTTGATAATAAATATAAAAGACATGTGAAATCTTAATTTTAAAGAATATGTAATGGACTGATTTTTATACATTATCTGTTTGAACATTGGAAGAATCGGCAATTTGTCGTCGAAAATCAACTTGAGATTGTGTTTTACTTTTATCAATTGTCAATTTTGAATTTAATATAATTGAATCTGTAGTTGTCGATTCTGTTGAACATGTTTCAGGTGGTACGTGTGGAGATAATTCTGATGCTATTGCTGTTGTCGTTGACGTGTATGTCGATTGTTTAGTAGAACCTTCAACTTTTTTATGTGATACTGGATCAACAATAGTTAATGGAGTTTTTTTTCGTTTTTCTGGAAATACTGGTTGTGCATATGGGTTTGCTTGTGGTATTGCAAGCTGAGATATTGGTACAGTTGACTGATGAGTCTGTAATAATAAAAGAAAAGTTTTTTTTTGTGCTTTTTTAGTTTCACAGTGTTTCTACTTGTAATTGTTGAGTTGGTTGTGTTAGTTGTTGTAAATTAGGAATTGCATATGGTGATAATTGTGGTAATCCTTGTGGTCCTGGATAATTTGCTAGTATTGAGTAAGCTATCTAAAAAAAAATACAATACGAAAGAAATTTTATTTATTTATTTTCGTAAAAAAGAAAATTTACATTGGAAAAATTGTTGTTGATAAACAGTTGATCCTAATGAAAGACTAGTATTTCCAGTTGGATATGTTGATTGAAATCCATATGATGGGATTAAATGTGGATAATTAGGTATAGTTCCATTTGATGGAGGCATGTATGGATTTTCTGGAAATGCTTGAGAACGATAAAATGATTGAGTATAATCATTAGTCATTTGTTGATTAATATACTAAAATACAAAAATATTTTATTACGGAAAAAAAAATTCAATAAATTTTATTTACTGATTGAGGATTCATTCGTGGTCCATATGATTGTGAATTTCTCATCGGTAAAGTATATCCTAGAAAAAAAAATCAAATTTGTAAAAATTTGAAAGTTCCATGCCATTATTTAGCATATGAAAACTAAGTGCTTCTGAACATGACGCTATTCTTATAGTAGTAAATGTTTATTATTTATCGTGAAGTATGGATATAGATGAAGAGAGCACTCACACTCCACAGAAAAACTTGAGTTTTCAACAACGTAGAAAGAAAAATTAGCTTTTAGTATTGCAGAATAATGAACTGTGAATAAATTCATGTTAAATTGTCTCATACTACAAAAACAATGCTTTGTATCAAAAAAAATCCACTAAAATGATCTATTTATTACTTTTTAGTCAAGGTTATAAAGCAAATTCGAATGGTTAATAATGAATACTTGATTATTTCTTTCTAAATAACTGTTATCTTTAACTATACAGATGGATTCTGTTAATAAAATATTTTTGTTTTCTTGTTTTAAATATTTTTCATTGGAATTGGTTTTGATACAGCTTCCTAAAAAACTTCTGAACCTAATACTTTTCATCTTAAAAAGAAATTTCAGATCATATGTTTTCTAAGGTTTACTGTCAATTATCGGTAATTACTTTTTTTTCAGAATTCTCCGTCTAATATTCTATATCATATTATTTTGAACTTAATCCGATGTTTATCGTATACATTATAACTTGAATAGCTTACTTCAGTGAAGCACTTGATACATTACTTCTCATTTCAATAGAAACTAAAAGTCTTTCGAAGCATTTAGTTGATACTAGATATGAATTAAGGCACCTGTTTCACGAGAATAGAATTTCCATTTTCTTGATAAGAAATTGGTATTCCTTCTTTTGGGTAAATATCTATGCCTATCGACGAGTATACCAATTATGTACTAGGCCTAACCGGATGAAAAACTTAACTGCAGTTTTAGACTTCTTTCAGAGTTTTCATTTATAAGCAAAAAACATAGAATCACCCTCCTGTTTGAAGGATGAAACTCATTAAAGTATTAATAATGACTCCAGTCTATTGTCTCACAAGGTTGAAGAATGAAAGTAATCCACGACTATTTTTGGTCGGTTAAATTTCAACTTTTCCTATATTTTGATGTCATTGATCATTAATTATTTTTAAATTTCTATCTTAAACTTAGTTTTATATTCTAAAGAAATTATTTCAATGATGAATAAACATGAAAATACAGTTAAACAAAGATGAAAGTAGTTTATTCACAATCTAGAACCATCGTTTAATCTATGTCATCAAAAATAGTCTGCTTTTTGAAAATAACGATTTCCTATAAGATTCAGTCGAAGATTTCTGCATTAAGAAATATGAATGTATCCATAGTTCACTAAATGATATGGAAATTCATCAATTTTCTGCTATTTCTTCATGAAGTCATTAGCAGGTTACAGTAATTACTCTCGTATACGATCCCATTGACTCTTCCTGAGAAAAATTGTAGGATATATTGATGGCACAGTCTGTCAAATATTTTTATACGACCTTCATTACTTCACCCAAAGACAAAATTTGTTATACATTAAGTCCTATATGACAGATAAGTTACCTTGTGTTTCTACGATTCTCACATGGTTGAGGATATTATCCAGATTTGTTTGTAATTCATTGATCTGTTTGATACTGTAATCGATTGTGATAAGTGATTTTAATTCTTCCAGATCTCGTGCAATTTGTTTGATGTTGTCGATCAATGCTTCCTTCATTTGCAATAATTTTACAAGATCATTTCTTGAAAGAATATTCGTAAACTCTTTTTCATATTGATTGAGTTTCTTTTTCTCGTTGTTCAATTTATCTTCATAATCTCGAATTAGTTTCTTATTCTTTTTGTCAATATCGTCGATGCTTTGGTTCAGCTCTCTTTCGCGCTTATCGATCATTGCACGTAAAGACGAAAATGCTTCAGTAAGTTTGTCTTTGCTGATGTTCCTACTTGAACGTATCATTTGTCGTGTATCTTTTAAAATTTTCTCCAAAGATGATTGTACATTTTCAATTTCATCTCTCATCTAAATTCGACGAAAAATTAATTTGTGAAAGAAACACATACAGACCTCCTTCTCTATGCCATTTGTAATATCAAGAATGGCTAAAATCTTATGATCATGATGATCAACCAATTCACAGTCACGACCGATCACTTTCTCATGATTGTAACACCACCATTTTTCTTTTTCATCTGAGTGTTTGTTGTATTGAATTGGTTCCCATGATTTTTGATCTATGAATATCCTTTCATGATTGGTTATGACTGGCGGTTCATGAACAATGTTGCTACATTTCAAGCAATGACTAATCTCACAATTTTTGCACCAAATTTCAGCTTTAGTAGAACAATTATTGGAACATAGTATGACGACTACAATGAAAGAAATGAAGATCATCAATACAAATATTGATTCATAAGCTATTGAATGCAAGTTCTTAATGAAAAAAATAGGGTGTGGGTGTAGATAAAAAGAAGGCTAATAATCACGCCCACACCTCACACCCCATACTCCACACCCCATACTCCACACCCCACACCCACACCCACACCCACACCCACATCCACACCCACACCCTCAGGATAATAGAAGATAAAACAAGAGAATTCAGAGAATCTACACGACTAGTTTCGTCCTTTCTAAAGGGATTCGTCAGGTATATTGAGTGAGAGCCGAGCTACCGTTATCGCGATTTCATCCGGACTGAGGGAAGTATCAGACGGCATTGACTTTATATTCATTTTGAGTGATCCGAAGATCACAAACAGAATATTTGACCTATCCTAATATGAAAATTTTGAAGAATGTGTAGCTACTATTGTAGCTTAGAGGATGGTTGTAAGTGGTTTAACGGTAAAATATCCAACCGGTTACTGGAAGATATGGATTCGATTCTATCCTGCACCTGTGATTCTTTCGGCTCAGTCTTTCATACCAAGTTGAGCATGTCAAGTAGCAAAACGATTCAGATAGTTGTTTATGAACTCATACAAATGTTTTCTCTACTAACTATAAATTGTACAAACTCATCCTCCCCTCATCGTCACACCCTCACACGTTTATATCGTATGCATGTTCGAATCTAGTAGTTGATCTTTAGTTGTATTTTTCATCCGCCTTGAATATGGTAGAAAAAGAATTGAAATATTTTCTCTTGGCTTTTTAAAATTTTTTCAGCATACACTCAAAGAAAAAAAGAACAAGTTGAAATTTTGAGAGCGGAGAGGAAAAAAAGCAAAGAAGAATAAGAAGGTTTACAATTAAAAGATACAGGAAAACAGGAGTTCGTTGATGATATCGCACAAGACTTTGTATGTAGTGAATTATTATTCAGTCCATTGCCACAATCTTTCTCTAGCCAGTGTGAGATCAAGATGAATTTGGATGAGATATGGATGAGGCAATCCACGATCTGCACGTTCTCTTTCCATTCGCACTCCGATGAAAAATCCAGTCACACCAATTCCAGTTACAGCGGCTGCACCTATTAATGCCACGGGGGCAGTGAAGATGGCAGGTATGATTAATCCTATAACTGCTAAGGTAATTCCTATTCCTTCAAAGAGAATGGCCAAATATGCGTCATCAGAGCATATCAAATCTAACGTGTATAAAAAGCCTATACCAAAGTAGCTAAATATAGCAGCGAGCGTTGCACACAATGAGCGAATGACTCTAACAAATCCCTGAACAGTAGCGTTGTTGACCTCAGGAGCCTCTAAGATATGTACGATCAAAGCAATGATGGCCGCATAAGTGGCGGGATTCTGATTCAGATACATGCGATAAACAAAGATAGCCGATTTCATAAGCATCAAAAGTTGGCGTATCGGTCGTAATTGAAGAACCAGCCAGGCATCAATGCTGGAATCTCCGGCACCTAGACCAGTGCATTGAGTTGGTATAATATCGTCGATTTGCTCGATCCACTTGTCCAGTTGCGGTAACAGGTGGTAATAAACTTGATGATGACTCGCTTCAGGATCACGCTCTCCTTGAGCCTTAATAACATTGTAATTCTCTGTAGCCGCGGACGGAATCCACATATAACGAAGGTTGTACTTTAATTCATTGTCGTGCTTTTCACATAGCTGGAGATGAGTAGTATTGCTCTTTATACCTTGTTTATTTTGACAGTTAGGATACGCGCACCAGTCTGTTGTATATGCTGGATAAGCTGTCGCAGTTTCTATGCTCTTCCTATAATCTCCAAAAGTAAAGTTTTTCAATTGGTGGATAAACGAAAGAACTTTAGATGATCTTCGGGGACGTAAAGACCACCTGCTGCGAGCCATTGATACAGGTTTGAATGGAATTAGATAGCCTTTCTCGTTTATTTTGTAACATTTTATTTGATTTTCTTCAATCATTTTTTCATGCTGATCTCGAGCGACTTTGGTTTCTTCGTCGATCTTTTTCGATGATTCTCCGAATCGTCGAGGTAGAACTTTGCTATCAGCACGGAGATCAATATTGTAGTTACTACTTGGAGGCTGAGCTGTGGTATCTTCCGAAGCCTGTGTAGGATGTAACACAAGAGACAAACAAGCCTTCGGAACGAGAGATTTCCATTTGCTTACTGCGGCAGTCAAATCTGGTGTCTTGCTCCGCAGTAGTTCCTTGATGTACTGCGCCGTCAACGCAATTTCCTTTACAAGATCATCAGCGAAAGGTCTTTCCATTTGCGTGAGATATGAAGAATCGACCTGGAGATGTAAATTTTGCTGAAATTCTCCTATAATAAATACAACAATCTGAAATATCTTATCAGTTTAAATATGTGAGTAACAATGTCATTTTAGACGGATTTGTCCACAGACGAAAACAAGTAAGCATTCTTATCAATTTGAAGATGTAGATCTCAACAATAATGTGTAATTCTTAGCAAGACAATTTCATAACTATATGTTCAGATTCTTCTATAGCCGATATTTTATTTGTACTATAATGATTTTGAGAGAAATGCAGTTGGGAGCACAAGAAAGCAGTGTGCTCAAAAAAAAAAGACAGGAAAAGTTTATCAAAACCATTAACACTAATCTAATATTTAGAATTAACTGATCACCTAATTGTTAACACTACCTTAAAATTTCTCTAGTAATAGTTAAATTTACTTAAAATTAAGTTATTAAGTGTTTGGAGCGAAATTATTAGTAATCTATTTAGTTCTTTTCAGAAAAGAAAGGTTTGTTTTGAGGCCCCCATTCAAAAATTGATCTCAGCCCAGGTACGTTCAAATGGGCTGAAATTTGGAGCATATATTGCGGTTGAAGTGAGGAGGGTGTGGTAAAATTTTCACTTCGATACTCTGACGTTTGGCAGAGATATAAACCAAACAAAGGTAAAAAATAGGTCAAAAATAGCTCATTTTAGGACAAGGATTTCTCTGTCCAGGCTCTGTTAACATACTTAAAACCTTTTTTGCTTGCAAGAGCATCTCAGGATGCAGGGCAGCACAGACTTTTTTTTTAAATTCTTACTTTTTTAGCGGAGAAAGGGGATCATAAAGTCAATGACTCAAAAAAAAATGCTCCAAAAGTGGGTGCCTAGTTACATAGACGTCTGTATATATAATAAAAAACAAAGCTTAGTTAGAAAAAGCACTCTATGGTGCCTTGCATCTCGATGCACTCTTTCAAACAAAACAAAATTTTGATATATTGACAGAACCTGGACCGAGAATTCCTTGTCAGAGGATCAATCAATCATAAACCGAGCAAAAACGAAAAACATTTTTCGTTTTTTTCGAAACAAGCATATTTTTCAATAAGACGTTAACGAAAATCGTCAAAAATCTTATCCGAAAAACGGATGTCCGTTTAAAAATCATATTGTTTCTGAAAGATCTGAAGGTGGGCTATCTTCCCATGCAATTATCTCATTTTTTAAATTTTTGTCAAAAATTTACATTTCTTGAGTAGGGATCTTAGGGAGGTAATGATTTATTATAAACTTTGATCAAGGACCTTCGATATCAAGAAATTTGAATCTTTAGCTAGTTTGGCAAAAATTATCAAACTTAAAATTTTTGAGAAATTGATTGTAGGTCGAAATTTCTTAACCCATTGAGCTGGACAAATCTAAGTTTTGACCCGAGTGATTCATTCAAAAATATTTTCGTTTTTCCTTCTAAAAAAAATCCGAATTTATAAGATTAAATTTCACTTATTGATAACTTTTATTGTAATCAAATATATTCTGGTGTGCAATTCGACCTATGTTTCCTATAAATCATATAATCTTGTTCAATCTTATATAGTATCCTACATTTCCATTAATTTCCCTATTTTACCTATACTTTACCAAAAACGTAGAAAATTTACAGAATTTTGTCATTTTAATCAGCATAAATTTTATTTTCTAAGCAAAATCTATACAAAAGACAGTTAAAATTTTAACTATTGCATATATAATGGTAGAACCACTTCAGATATTGTTTTATCCATGGAACACTAATCGGTAATTGATGCCATAGATGCTTTCAGACCTTTAAGATATATCTTCATACTATTACATTTATGTGATTGTCATATTTATTCGTATAGATCATCAACAAAATTATTCGAACAACTGCAGTCGTTTCCATATTATTTGAATTCCATGATAAGAATAAAAGACAGAAGTTTTTCCTTGTCACTAACGATTATTTCTCAATTTTAACATTTTCTCCTATAAGAATTAGTAATGTAAATCATTCTTTAAAGTTTTCGTAAGCTTTCTCATCAAACTAATCTATCTTTCTACATTTACAAAATAGTCTCTTTTCTTTTGCGCATGGCTAGGCATTTATTATTCGTCCAAAGAGCATATACCGGTACGAAAAAATCAAGCTAGTAAGGTTTTTTTCAAGAGCCATAGAATATAGTGGATATAAGAATCAATTTTACAAGAAATGATAGTTACTTTCATAACTGATAATGGCAGCTTATAAGGAGAAGTATCTCGATTATCTACCGATGAGAAAGAGACATGCTCCAGCTGCCTACTGATGAAAGCCTAATTATTTATTCTTCTTAGTAGTT